TATCATGTCATAATTATCATATTGTTTTTCGCCCTCCTCATTAGGTTTATCATATCATCAGCTCAGTCGAAGGAGTCCATGTATTAGCACCATAAGAGACTACAAATGTCTAAATTAAACATCATGAAATTGTATGAAATTCTTCTTTTTTCATATGACATTACATACGTATATAATAAATGAAATTGCTTAAAAATTGTAGAATGCATGAATCTGACTAAGTGTTAACATGTGTCGAAAATTTGGTTGTCAAATCTAAGAATTTCAATAGCTTATCATTCTCTGAGTTAGACAAACTCTACTTTATAATTCTGTATTTTATTGTTCTAAACTTTTAGTACAGTTCTTATGTTTGTGTTCATATTGCAAGAGGTTCTCAGCCTTGTAAGGAGAGAAAAATCAAGAGTACTTTGGTAATAACCCCCTCAGAGAGAGACTATTGCACGTTAAGCAAGCAGAATTTGTTTTCTCTGGACCTCAATTATCTTCGAAAATAGCTAATCGCAGTAATAGAGTATGCACTCTATTATGCACACTATTGCCTTTTGACTTTGCTGTATTAATTATTATTGAGCCAAGTTAATTCACTTGTATTTGTCATACAGGAAAAGGTGGCCCCAACATCCGACTACTGACCCAGAACCCCCCAAGAAGATTTGTACTAGAAGGAGTTCTGACACAAGTTCAAGCATTCTACCCCTACGAAAGTCACATGGTTTCCTCCATTTAAAAAGGGTGTCTTCCAGTAGCTCTCCTCTCTTCCTTCGAAGAAACAAAGGGTGGAAGATCAGCCCTCCATTAGCATAAAACCCTCTTTTTTGGACAGTTTTAATGTTGAACTTGAGGTCTCAAGACACAGTTAATAGCATCATCAGGAAATTCTATGTTCAGAAACGGTTCGAGAAGTTGCAGGGGCTTGAGGACAGTCAGGTCAAGATTGGAGCCCCTAGAAACATGGTGAAGGCCATGGTTTATACCATTGAAGACAAAGAGAGGTCTTCTAAGCTTTCGAGAAAAACTGAAGGTTTGGTTGATGAGAATGCTAAGCTGCTAAAAAATGTTGGTGAACTGGAAGATGAACTAAGTATTCTGAATAATTTGAAATCCAAAATGCGAACTAGGCTGAATAGGCGTGATGCCAAGATCGTTAAACTAAATGCTAAGGTTTCGGCCAGGGAGGATGAAACTGATATGGCAAAGAACTGATGGGGCGGGGCGGGCGCCCCGAACCCGCCCCGTGAAAAAAAAAAATAATAATAATATATATATATATA